CCCCCCCCCCCCCCCCATCAAAACACCCCAAACCCAAACACACTTTTGCCAAAACCCGAAATCCTTGGCCCATGCGCGACTACCTACTCTAGGGCCGTCTAGTATTGGAATGATTAAAGGCCCTGGGATATATTATCCTATAACAGTATAACTACAATCAGGAACCCGAAGAAACTGCAATAGCATTACTATCTGTAAGGCTCAAATTAGCCCAAATGCCCCATGTAGTATGGTCTTTTGGCCCAGAAGCCGTAGAATATGCGTCTTTAGAGCCCTGGGGTAAGCACAGAACCCACCCACCCTCGAAGACCGCTCGACGTCAACCTTAAACCCGAAACCCGAAGCCCTCATAGGTTTTAGGGTTTAGGGTTTAGGGTCCTCAAGCCTAAATGCTGAGGCTACAAACCGCGGATCCCGAACCCTACAACTTCCTACATCCTCGAACCCAAACCCGCTGTCCGATTTCAAGACCCTAAACCGGCCTAGATCCCTTTACTTTAAAGGATCCCGTCAAGTGTCTTTAAGGATTTCTTTCAGGAGCCCGATAAGGAACCCCTTAGGGAACGTGTTAAAGAACCCTTCAGGAGGTGTTAAGGATCCCTTTAAGGAACCCTTTAAGCATCCCTTTAGGGAAGCCATTCAGGAACCCTTTTAGGGTTTAGGGTTAAGGGTTTAGGGTTTAGGGTTTAGGGTTTAGGGTTTATCCCTGTACGGAACCCTTCAAGGAATCTTTGAAGGAACCCTGTAAGGGAATCCCACAACCCTGCGGTCGCCGGGGCGCATGGATGATTTTGCACACGTCCATGGCCCGAGCGGCTCCACGTAGGCGCAAACAACCTGGAACTCGGACATCCTACGGGTCCCTTTAAGGGATCGATATGGGTAGTTGTCAAAAGAAGGGTCCCTTTTGGGGTACCCTAAATAATAGGTGCCTTTTTTCATAAGGGACCATAATTTTTACAACCACCCATATGTAAAGTTCTATACTAGGTACCAATATTATGATTTGGGAAAGTAGCCCCCATATCAGTCTTGATCGAGGGAAATACTGATGGGTAGAAGAGGTACCTGTATTATAACCCTAGATGCTATAAGTCCCATGATCCTTTCAGCAAAACAACACTTTACAAAGGATTCGTATGAGGTCTAGCGGGTTCTATAAGGCTATGAGGGAAGTGGCGAAGGCTTGAGAGTTTAGGGCAGATGATTTTCAGTTTCGGCACCTACAAATACGCCCTTATCACCCACCCCTTTTCGAGGTAGGATCGCAAGTGGCCAGCAAAGAATCTATGCCTGGTTCTTGACAGGTCCAAGTGGCCAAATGGTAGGGATTCTTGCCCAAATAGTACGAAAATTACTCTGAATGGTCTCTATTCAGTTACCTGGGCCCTGTGGGAAAGAGATTAGCTGATTAGATTTGGGGGTGTAGGTGAATCTAGGCGGAAAAGGAGCGGGGCTTGGGGTTGTAAGCTGTGAGGATTTTGGAACAGGGCTTGATTATAGGGTGCAGTATCAAGAGTATAATTTGTGCAAACTATCTTTGAGGTTTCCCAAGAAGCCATGATTTTGTCAGTTGCCCATATGGAGTACAAGGGCCCCAAATTGTAGAAGCCTACCTACAGCGCCACTAACCCGGAGGGTCCATGTACTCAAATAGTAGATACTTTGGCCCCAAAGTACCCAAATAGGGACCACTTTAAGGCCAAAGTATACCCCAAACCCCAAACCCTAAACCCAAACCCAAAACCCAAAACCCCATACTATTTAGGTACATGGACCCTTATGGTAAGGTATCGGATTTTGTACCAGAAACTCTTCTGAGGTTGATGCAACCCTTGCACCGTTCGAAGGTTTAGGGTTTAGGGTTTAGGGTTTTCGAGTCGAAACCCTAAGTCTCGAACTGCAAACCGAATGAATAGTGATATCCCCAATGTCATCGCTGGGAAAAGTGATATCAAAGCCGGGTGGCCCATGAAAAACTCGTCTATCTCTACGCAGCCACCTGCGCGCGAGAAGACTTGAATGGAGCCCGGTGTTGTTGGGGAGTTGCGGGGTCATGTGGACACACTTGAAGCTTCAGGGGTAGCACCCAGATTGCGTGATCCTGAATTCGAGATTCAGAGTTCTAGGTACTCCTCAATCAAAGCTAAATACCACTCACTCTAAACCCGTCATCCTACATATCCAGTCCACTGGCCGGCGAAGGTACACGCTGCCTTCGTCGAGGTCTAGCATCTTGAAGAAACTCCTGCCGTCTAGGGCTTATAGGGTTTCTGGTTTTGGGTTTAGGGTCCAGGGATCTAAGTACCAATACGGTAATATGCTGTTACTCTTAGGGCCGAGATATCTATAGTTGAGATGCTGAGTTGCCGGAAGACAGGATCGCCGTCATGCCACGTTGCATTGGCTTCATAAACGAAACATGAACTCTTGAATAATTTGCCCGGGCTTTTGCGGGCCATTAAAACATGGGAGTTTCCGAAAATTAGGGGTACCGTATTTTGGGGTCCTTATAATAAGGATCCTAATATTTAGGGTGCTATATTAGGGTCCCCGATTTTCGGGACCCCCCCCCCCCCCAAATATCTATAACTAGTCGGAAGGAATGCTGGTTACTATTCCTTCAGGACTCTGTATCGTTTGATTTGAAGTTCTTAAGGTCAGGAATGGGATCGACTGATGTGTTTCTACTTGGGGCTTTATAAGGTCCGATACTTGTTTGGGAGCCTCGCCATATCGGTACCGCAGGCAAGAACCATTGTCATCTAGGATTTTGGAGTTGGGGTTTGGAATTGCGGGTTTAGGATCAATTAGGGTTTCGCTTTTGGGTTCGGGTATAAGGGTTATGGGAGAGACCCCACGTAAGTAAAAGCGAGAAAACTTAAGCGGCACTGTCTTCAAACACCCGACGAACCCTGCAAGGATAGCTACAACACTGAAAACAACCTCATACTGTTCACAGGTATCTCAAATATGATAGACACACATCCACACACATGCAGTCATAAATTTCAGAACGACAATCGCAATGCGGCTGTGAGGCAATACACTGCAAACACGGAGAGATTTATCAAAGGCAGTTCGTCCCGTGTGAGAGATTAATAGCCTAACTACAAGACTGAGCAAAGAACACCTTCAGTCTTGGAGCCCTTACATCCAGTTCCTTAACCTAGAACCTATTGTAAAGCCTGAACCCCGAACCCAAAACCCTAAACCCCCAAAACCCTGCACCTCTTACCCTAAACCCTAAAGCCCAAACCCCCAAAACCCTAAACCTCTTACCCTAAACCCTAAACCCTAAAACCCCAAAACCCTAAACCTCTTACCCTAAACCCTAAACCCTAAAACCCTAAACCTCTCGCTCTGAACCTTTAAACCCAAAGTCCGAATCACTAGACCCTAAACCCTAAACCCCAAAACCCTAAACCTCTTACCCTAAACCCTAAACCCTAAAACCCTAAACCTCTCGCTCTGAACCTTTAAACCCAAAGTCCGAATCCCTAAACCCTAAACCCTAAACCCTAAACCCTAAACCTCTTACCCTAAACCCTAAACCCTAAAACCCTAAACCTCTCGCTCTGAACCTCTAAACCCAAAATCCGAATCACTAGACCCTAAACCCTCCTCCCCAAAACCCCTAACCCTTGTCCTGGCCCCGAAACCCAAAACCCTAAGCCCTTTGACCCAAAGACCCGAAAAGCCCAAAACCCTGAACCCTACGCCCTAAGACCCCAAAGACCCTTGGACCATAAAGAAGAACCTACCTTTTCAGGGTTCCCTATTATGAATTCCTTAGATAAGTCCTTAAAAAGGTAAGTTATTTGAGGTTAAGGTAGACCCTGAACCCTATGACCCTAAGACCCGACACACTGAACTTAATGCAGGGGCCCAAATAATTACCGATACTATTTTGGGTGTTTCCATATTATAAGTATATTATAATGGGCCCCACAACCCTATTCTAATTATTGAGGCCTCTATATTTTTTGAGGTTTCCATATCATAATTATAGTATCATCGGCCCCACAACCCTATCCTAGTTATTAAGGCCCCAAAACCCTAAACCCGAATAGTAGCCCTTATAGAACCCTTGAAGGAACCCTTTAAAGGAACCCCCAAAACCCTATTCTAATTATAAAGCCCCCTATAATAAGCAACCACCCTTATGGAACCCTTTAAAGATCCCTTTAGTCCCTTTAAAGGAACCCTACTCTAATTATTAAGGCCCCCTATATTGAGCAAACACCCAGCCCAGGCTCCATGCATCCCAGACGTCCAGTCCCAGGGTTTCGAAGTACTCCTCTGCTCTGCTTCGAAGGGTTTAGGGTTTAGGGTTTAGGGTTGAGGGTTTAGGGTTTAAAGGGTTTAGGGTTTAGGGTTTTGAGGGTTTAAGTTTAGGGTTGAGGGTTGAGGGTTGAGGGTTTAAGGAGGGTTTAGGGTTTAGGGGTTAAGGTTGAGGGTTGAGGGTTTTGAGGGTGTGAGTCTAGTGTTTAGGGTTTAGGGTGTAAGTTTAAGGTTTAGGGCTTTGGGATGAGGGCTTAAGTTTAGGGCTTAGAGTTTAGGGTTTAGGGTAGGGTTTAGGGTTCCCTGCAGGGTTTAGGGTATGAGGGCTTAAGGGTTCCTTTAAGGTTTCCTTCGGGGTTCGATGTTTGCGGCTTTACCGGCATCCAACAGTCATCTAGACTATGTTGGGGCAATATTATACCCACTTGAGGGATTAGGCAGGGTTTAAGCTTAGGTAGGCTTTACACGAGATCTGTATCATACAAGGGCTTCACATAAGTATCTCTAGTTTCGGTCTAAATGATTTGTAGGTGTTAAGCGGTTTAGGGTGTAGTGTTTACGTGTTTACGGCTTAAGAAATTCTTGCAATGCCTACGGGGTGTTTTCAAATTCAGGACCTCCGTTTGCATCGCCCAACAGACGCCTTTGGCACAATCAGGTCCAGAAAACAACCTATTTATACAAGCTGGAGAAGTACCAAACCTAGGGCTTACGTGGTGTTTGGGGTTTGAAGAACAGAACGTCATAACCCATCCCTAAGGGACCATGCACCCGAATAGTTTATACTTTATTGGTACTTTGAGGCCAAAGTATATACGACCCCCAAGCCCCAAACCCTGTAGAACCCTTAAAGGAACCCTCATGGAGACCCCATAGCAACCCTGAAAGGAACTCGGTTTGGGCACATGGACCCTTACTTAAAGGATCATGGGACTTAGTAAGTAGGGTTGTAATTAGGGTAACTATACCTATAACCCCAATTAAGGGACTTATAACCTTACTTACTAAGTCCCATGATCCTCTAAGTAGCTTGTGGATTAAGGCTGCAGGTCGTTCTACTTTACAAGCCACTTCTGATTCTCGGCGCTAGGTCGAGCCGGA